GAGAAGGGATGGCAGGTATAAAAGGGCTTCTATGACATGAGGTCAACGTGGTTCTCATCTGAACGGCTCAGGCTTACATGAGAACACACCGTTAGCTAATTTTAGGAAAGTCAGAACTCACCACTAACTGAACACCCAGCCTTGCTTGTCCCACAAGCCTGGGGTCCAAATTATTAACGTGTCTTTTTCTCTGCCCTTCAGTGCCTCATAGCCTAAAGGTGGCAAGACAGATATCGCACCACGTAAAGACAATCCATGGACCACAGAAAAATGTACCCAGGCCCTAATTTCTACGTGTGCTTAAACCCTTTTACCCCACTGTGGCTGCCAATGAGGACAAGGCATACTACAGCCAATGCACAAAGTCTGGGCAGATATGCCTTCCCTGCACTTAACAAACGGTAAAAATAAAAATTAAAAAAAAATGAAAGAATATTTGTGCAAAACAAAGAGTCTTTCTACCTTCCTTTCTAATGACTTCCAACCCTAAGCCTGGGACAGATGTTTATAAATCAGTCCCCAGAATAACTTACGAGGTCCCACGTTTAAAGCATCCGTGAGCTGAAGGTAAGGATGGAAAGACTGGCCATCCTGTGTCCCAGGGAGAAACCAAGGCAGAGAGTGACCGAGCAGGTCTCAGTAGAGCCTTCGTCAGCCATGGGAGAAAGAACGGCTCGCAGAACTCAGGAGTCTGCTGTCTAGAACTGACCAAAGTTCGGCTGTTTGCCCACGAGCAGGTCTCCAAAACCACCACGAGGAGTGACAGAACAATTTACCCCAGAGCCTGGCTGGCTCACAAGACTCTCGACCACAAGCATCTTGGTGAGTTGTCCCAAACTAACACATTTTTAACTACCTCATATGACTGATGTAACGTGTTTTCATTCCAAGGACACGCTCACCAAATGGGAAGTCGGCGCCATTTTAATTTCAGTGGCCATGGCTTCACCCAGACTTTGGAAAGAAGATGTCATTTGTATGGCAATGATAACTATGCTTACACATGCTATCAGCATAGCTAATTACAAATTCCGGAGGAGCTAAGAATGAGCGGATGAAATGGCCCATTCGTACTAAATCACTCCCTTTGGTCGAGTAAGGTCATCAGAGCTCTAGTGACTAGCACAGTGGAATCGGGATTTGGGGGAAAGGAGATCATTTTCTAGGCAATTCTTCTGAGCTGGGTATATCTCAGCGTGGGGAAGCCTGCAGTTTGGAAGGCAATCATCTTCGTTTTTTTCACGCAACCATCTGGGTGTCCTTGAGGAAGTCATTTGCACATTCAGAGCCTCTGTTTTCTTGACTTGTAAAACGAGGCATTTGAGTCACCTTCTCCACCAGCTGTAAAATTCTATGGTTCTCCAAGTAATAGTTTACTGTGTTGCTGGCAAGACCGCCTCGATCATCAGCACAAACCAATTAACACTCTGCCCTGCGAAAAGCCCGTTGGTGGTTTCGACCAAGAGGCTGCTTTAGAGTGGAAGGAGGTCAGAGCATGAAATCCAGTCGCGTTGTTTTTCAAAACAGACGAAGGATCGGAGGCCAACGATATTGAGTAAGTTGTTTCAACGACAATTAGTGGCAGAAGCGCAATGAAGGCCACCTGACGAGTGCCGTCTGCATGGAACCACAGTGTCATCCAGCTGGCTCGCGAGAAGCCGCTGCCGCCCCCCCCCCCCCCCCCCCCCCCCGTGCAATCCACGGTGTGCCTTTTACGCGACTCATTACACACGGCCTACATCACAGCTGTGCTTTACTGGCCTCTGGGTTATTCGTTTTCCAGACACCTAATCCAGGAGACATCTGAAGAGTGACCTACAGGTCTTCATGAAAATTTGCCGGGATAAAACACTTTAAGAAGTCCCACAAGGGCTGTCGAAGACAGCACCCCATCCACTGCTTCCTGTGTGATCAGATGAGCATTTTACAGCCAGGAACATCCTAGGGCACTCAGTCCCAACTCAACGACCCCAGCAACTGGACTGTGGCCTCAGCAGCATAAGCACTTTGTCACTCTGGCTTCAGGCTGCTGTGACCGTAGGACAAGGCCACTGGCATATATCTGCAAACCCCACACGTAGGTGTGTAAGCCATGTGACAGCATGGACAGTGCCCTGGGTGGCAGCCACACAGCCCTGCACCTGTGTCTGGCCATGGAGCAACTGTCACAAAGGCTGCACTGCCGATCTCTGGGGGGACTGGAAACCTTGGAGGGCCAAGCGGGGAATTTGTGCAGAAGCGACACTGCATGCCACCCAATACGCTGCCGTCTGCTCCAATATGAGACAATTTGTTCCAGAGAACACAACAGACAGGCATTAAGCCCTAAATTATATTGGATTCAACGACTTGGTTGAATCTCAGACATAACGATGTACGAAATAAGCCAGACCCCAGTGAGGGTGTGCTGTATGACTCCATTTCTGTAAAATTAAAAATAAAGAACCAATATGTAACAGTGACATAAGTCAGAGTGGTGGTTGTGTGTTAGGTGGGGGTGTGGACCAGAAGTGGGGTACAAGGAGTTTCCTGGAGGCGGGGGGTCTGGAAATCTCCAATTTCTTGATCTAGGTGGTGGTTACATGGGTATAAAAAGATTTTAAAATTTGGCCAGTTCTATATTTCAGATATGTGTGCATATTGCTATATGCATGTTATACCGCAATAAAAAATTAATTTAAAATATCATGTGAGGCCCCACGATGGACACGGAGAAGACGTTTCCTCATTTCCTTTACTGAAAGGATAATCTGGGATTCTCTGAACTGAGCTTTTGCCCAGGAATTATCAATAACAACAGTGGCTAGATTAAGTGCTTATATGCATCAGGTCCTGTGCAAGGAGACACATGAACTATATGCATCATCTCCTTTAATCCTTAAAACATCTCCACGGGGTAGAGATAGAGTCCAGTATATATATCTCCATTGCACAGATGAAGAAACTGAAGCACAGAGACACAGAGTACTGTGTCCAAAGTCACACAGCAAGCAAAATGTCAGAAGTGGGATTCGAACCCACCACGGTGACTCCAGAGCCTATGTTTTTATTGGGTCGTAACACCTCATCGTATGCTACAGGATGAGAGGGCTTTTCAGGCTGGGTCGTATCCGATTCGTTCTCTCGCTCCCCCGGTGCCTGAGCTGCTCCTGACATCACAACGCAGTCCACATGCTCAGCAGTACAAGGAAAGAGAACTAAGCTGTGAGGGGCTGACAGTCCCCATCTGACTACAACGTCGAGGTCTGTTCAGGGGAAGCGCCCCGTTTGGTACCAGGGCCCGTTTCCACTGCCTTTCAGGGTGGGCGTGTTACAGTTGGACCTTATTCCTTTCCCTTCAAAAAAACACACGGAAGGGACAACACACAATGTTCTCATATGCTACTCGCCAGGCTTTCTTGAAAAGTGCACCCCAGGACAAAAATGTCCACCGCGTGCCACACGCTTTTAAGACCTGCTTTAGCCTTTTGAAAAGACTAAAGGAGCTCATTTTCCCCTCTTTTTCTAGCTTTTCTGTTATGATACAACATACAATGCTCCTGTAGAACCTGGAGGAGGCATGAACCACTCTTTAATTAAAAAATACACGGCTCGTGATTTTCCAGGCATCCTTTTTTGTCCTTCACCGCCTTCTCTGTTTCCCTGAAGTTCTCGTGTGAAAACCTGTTGGACCACGGATTTCTTGATTAAAAAGAGCCGTTAGTCACAGGCCCTCTGAAAATCCACCAGGGCCAAGGGTAGATATTGCCCAAGTGGTTTAGGTCCTACTCCAACCAGGTGCAAACGCAGGTCCGAAGCCTTAAGTGGGCTCCGTAATGTGAAGACGGAATTATCCCCCTCCCAACCCCTGCTCCCACAAGAACTATTTGTTTCAAGTAACTTGAAAAACAATGACCAAAAATTGAAATTTTTGGTAGAACGTTGGTCTCATCCCACCCCTGCCCTGAGTAGCTCCCCACCCAGGGCTGGGTCCACTGGTCCACAGCCCGTCCCTCACCCCAAACCTGCTCCAGAGCTCCCTGCAACAAGCACAGGTCACTCAGCAGCAGCCTGGGGGATCAAATTAATGAGGTGTCCTCCTCCCCTGAGCTGGGACACAGAGAACCAGGCAACAGATGTCCCACCCACCCTCTATCCTCCATTCTCCATCCTTCATCAGCCTGTTATGCTGCCTGTGACACTAACCCCTCCTCCCCACCTAATTTCTGGTGCTCTGCCTAGCTCCAGCCACGCCAAGAGCCGGTCCCACTACCTCTTGCACATCTCCCCAGGATGGCAGACTGACTTCCCAGAGCTGCTCCTCTGAGTAATATCTTTCACCCCCGCGAGTAGTCCCACCTTAGTCAAACCAGAACCACACAGACAAGACCAGAACAGGGGACCTCGGTCACCAGGCCATCTCCCTCCACCTATCATGGGCCGCCGCGAGAAGATATTCTAGCCTCACTGCACATGGCCCATCAGAGTCCCTTGTCACCTTAAACCCCACCTCTGCTGGCTCCCCTACCCCATGAATTCAGGCTCCAGCTGCTAGAAACCTCTGCATTTGGCAAAGTTGACATTGTCTGTTTCAAACGAGTTATGCGTGATTGCAAAGGCATGTATAGTGTTTAACGTCGTTCAGGCATCAACGTGAATAGAGAGTGGAAGGGAGTTAGTGTTCTGAATGGTCAGTGTCTGCATGTCAGCCAAGCACAAGCACAGCCTTGTTGTCTGGTGAGAGAGAGAGAGAGAGAGAAATGAAGTAAAAGCTAAGAGGAAAAAGAAAGGAACACTTAACCAGAAAACAGTACTTTTGGATAATTTCAGAACTGAGTAACAAATTTGGTGATAGGAAACTGTAGGCAAGCCTCTTGGGATCCCACCAGGGTGTCCAGGATCTGTCGTACTGGTTGTGCCAAGGGGAAAATACAATGATTTTGAACTTCACTTTGAGAAACTGTTTCCTGCCCATTGGCAAGGGGCAAAGCCAAAGGGAGGCTCTTTCACAAGGTTCTTACCTGGTCATCATAGCGGTAAGTGAGGAACTGCTCCCCTGTGGTATCTTCCAGAAAGCTTCCCTGCGGGGAGAGTGCGAACTCAGGGAGGAAGTAGGCTCCAGGAGACTTCTCTGCCATGGTCTGCAAGGCAAGGCCGCTTGGTCAGAAACAAGGCTCCATCAGGACCCCAGACAGGCCCTCGCTGAAAGGGGTGATCCCATGAGAACCACCCCCATTGAGGGCTGTACCAAGAAAAGGGCAGTGCCCTCTCTTGGCAAAGGTCAAGGTGAGACATACCAGGTATCTGAGCTGAGGCAGTGAGGCCAGGATATCACCCTGGGCCACTGGCACACACGGTATTGATTCCCTGACACCTGCCTCCTCTCCCACAGCCTCCCAGCAACTCAGCCACAGCGGAGTTAACCTACTTATGTTGCTGCAAACCCATTGTTTCTAAGGCTTCCTTCCTTCCTTCCTTCCTTCCTTCCTTCTTTCCTTCCTTCCTTCCTCCCTTTCTCTCATTCTGTTTTTGCTTATTTGAAGGGTGATAACCTTTTTTCCATACTACAACAGAAATGCACGTTCATTGTAGAAAGTTCAGAAGGTACAGGTGAGCACAAAAGAAAATAAGTCACCCATAATCCCTTCCACCTCTAATAACCACTTTTCACTGTTTTGGTGTTATTTCCTTGGAGCCTTTTTTCTCATGCTGCTTTGCATGTATATGTAGAAGTCCAAGGTTAAATAAACACGGGTTTTGCACAAAGGCTCTGTCTGGTTCCAGGAGAGCTCCCACCCTGGCACCGTAATCATCAGGCGTAAACCCCAATTGTGGGGGCTGCAAGGAGTCAGGTAGGAGGACGTCACCTGCTGGAGAGTACAGCTCGGACACGAAGGCCTAAGGGACTTCATACCATCACCTCCATTGCTGCCACCTCCATCCTGGAAGACATATCCAAGGGAAGCTGGTGCATGTAGGTGCCTGTACCAGGACCACTGCTTTGGTTGGATCAAGGAGCAAAGAGATAAGGAAGATGGAGCCCCTAGCGCTGAGTCCACTTGATCAAAATGGATTGATGGCTGTGCCCCAACAGGGGACCTCACTCCCAGTGCTTGAGAAGGAAGGCGAAAGAAACACAGTAAGAGGCCAAGGGCGTTACTCTAAGGAGATGGCCTTCCGCAAACAGAAACAGTGGGGGTCTAATGTACCCCTCAAATATCTCTGGGTCCCCAATGATCACCGTCCCAAAGTACAGCAGGAACTTTGGTTAAAGCAAAAGCATGCACTTTGTTTTTGTTTTTTTTAAGATTTTTATTGGGGAATTTGGGGGATGGGAACAGTGCTGGGGAATTGGGGGAAGGAGAACAGACAAGTTGCTGCCATTTTTGTTCTTCAGTCTAGTTGTGGAGGACGTTGCTTCACTGGCCCAAGTTGGCACCATCATTGCGCTCTTCCCGGGCGAGGCAGATCAGTCGCCAGCTTCTGGATGGTCACTCACTGCGGCTGCTGGCCGCTCACGCTGGCTGCTGGCTACACACGGTAGCCCATGGCAACCCACTGCAGCAGGGGCTGCAGCCTACGCCATCGCCGGCGACTCACGGCAGCCCAGCTCCAGGTTGAGCTGTTGTTCAGCATCTTAGCTGTAGAGGGCAGTGTCACTGGCCCTCATATGTGGGATCCGAACCAGGGCCCTCTGGCGTCCCAAACCAGCTCTTAACCACTGCGCCACTCAGCCGGCCCAAAGCATGCACTTTTAATACTGCATTTTAAAAAGAGAAATCAGTACGTGAAAGCCCCGTCAAGGCACACAGAACAGAAAACTGCATGTTCGGGTTATGCAAAGAATTTCAAGATTTCCTTGTTAAAGGTCATTCCCACAAGGGAGTCAGCACCAAGTGAGTGAGTGACGGGCATCTCCCCAGAGCCGTGCGGCCCCCGATCTCTCTCGCACCTCCTTCAGAAAGGTTTGCTTGAGGCCAGGTTACTCTCAGTAAGTGGGGAAGATTGGAAAACCACCTGTAAATGACCAGTCTGCTAGGCAGTCAGGCCACGGGCCTGTCACCTCAGCGTTCAGACGCCCCTGTGTTCTGTGGAGGTTTTTCTCTGTCATGCTGCCTTCCCATGGGGGAGCCTGTCTACCTCAGCAATCCTGCCAAATGCCCTGCGACCTCCACTTGAATGCCGTTAGCGACAGGGAGCTCACTCTCTACCAAGGCAACAGAGGTCTGTGAGAAGCCCGCAAGTTCACAGAGGCCACACCCGTCGGAAGTGGTCCATTGCTCCCCAGCTGAGGTGGGAGGTGCCCTGGCCAGCAACCCCTTTCCCCTGTCATCCTCTCCCAAACCCTCCCTCTGCCCCCCACAAACACACTCCTCCTACGACGAATTCAGGAGTCGGAACGGAGAGAACATCTTGGGTGACACAACTCCAGAATTGTAAGGAACTTGACAGAGTGGTCCCAATCCCTCTCTTGCAGAATTTTTCAATAGTCAGGTACAACAGATTCAATAGAGGCCCTTTGAAAAGAAAGCTGGGAGAAAGAAAACACAGATTTACTGAGCATCTACTGGGAGCTCGGAATTGTGAAAACTGTCCCATTTTGTCCTCACAACGCCCCTGTAAGATGGGAGTCATCCACCTATGTCACATGCGAAGAAACCTACACAAAGGAGGTCACGTAATGTCACTGGGGACACACAGACTCCCAGCTGCCGAGTGCAAGTTCATCTCCGTTCCATTTCTCTTCGCCCCTCGGTGGAAACCAGTCTTAGAAAAACTGGGCCCTCCTCAAGGCGCCATGGCTGAGTGCACGCAAGACTTCAGAAAGCAAGCCCCACGCCAACGCCGGGCAGCCAAGGACACGCACTGACATTCTCACCCAGATGGGAGCTGACGTCCTAAGTGTCTGGGAGGTTCGGTGGCATGTGGCTCCTTAACAGGATGAGGTGACGGAAGAGGTCAGGGCCCTTTAGTAGCAGGAGACGAGGGAAGGCAGAGGGACGGAGGCCAGACCAGGAAGTGTGCAATCTTCCCAGGGCACAGAGCCAGGGCCTGGGAGAGAAGCTGCCAAAATGTAACATCCTCCAGCCACTGTCCACAGCTGCCGAGTCGCCGGGGACGGGGTCAGGAGGACTCAGGCGGCCCGCAGGGACTGTCAATCTGAGACTGGGGATGCAGCTCTTTTCTCCCCTCTCCCTGCAGCAGAAGGCTTTGGCTTGGGAGGGAGGAAGTAAATATGGGGTGGCACTGCAAGGACGAGATTTCAGGGTCCCAGGGCAGCACACGGGTGCCACGGCTGGGCACAAGGTTTGGCTGACATAACGGAAGGGGAGAGACAGAGAGAGAAGCAGGCATCCTGGAGCAGAGAATGACGGCCTGACATGCCTCAGCAGTCCAGCGGTCACGAGTTTAAAAATAAAAAACAAAATGTGATTCCCATTGAAATTCAAAGCCAGTTGAAACACTTCACCCAGCTTGGTCTGAGCACAACACGTGGGATGGTCATCTCTCTCCAGAGTCAGGACACAGCCAAACATCACACCATACCACAAACCCCTACAGACGTGTGGTCAGGGGAGGCCACCACGGCTTTCTGCCACATGCCACTGTGAGGCCGTGAGTCTGCACTCCGGACTGAGAGCCAACTGCACCGTTCCCCGTCACCCACGCTCCCTGTAGCTCTGACCCATCATTCCAGCCCATCAAGGCTCTTGTTGAATCCTGGCTCCCTGGACCACTGTATGCACTACTGTCTCCTCAGCTCACATCATCCCAAATTTGAGCGCCGTGCTCTCTGTCTGCATCCTTGTCACGGCCACAAACACTGACGGGAAGAGGGCTGAGACGTGGGCCCGTTACCAGGCCAAGGAAAGCCTGTCTCCAGGCTGACAGTGGCTTTCCCCAATTACAGTCCCCTCATTTCAGACGTCTCCATGGCGGCCACTAGGGACCCAAGAAACACCTTGTCAGATGCTTCAAATCTGCAGTGACACAGACAACGCACGGACGTATGATACTAGATGGAAGAAATGAGGTGCCAGCAGATCTTATTAGGCTGGGACACAAGCTGCCCACTAAGAAGGGGAAGCCCCGAGCCAGTCCTGTAGGAGCCTCCCTCGTGACACTGTGACACGGGCTGAGCAGAGGACGTTTACGTCCCTGCCAGGAATAGTCATGCATAAGAAGTCAATCCCCAGTAACTGCAATCAAGATCTGCAGAGGAGAGCTCAGCATCTGGATGGGATGCAGGGGCCACCCCTGCAGGTGGAAGATCCCTTTACATGACAAGACTCAATGAGTCTGGGGGTGTCTCCCAGGTGGAGCTGGCAGAGCCCGGAAGAGCAGAAACCCCATTATGGGGACAGTCTGCAGGGAAGATGTTCTCTGCAGGGCCTTGGGGGGTTGTCCCTCCAAAGATGGGTGGCACAGAGGACTGGACAGCTTAAATCTTCCAAGGCCCAGGAGAGAAAATCAAGTTAACCAATGCTATTTAAACTCAGCGCACCAAGCAGATTTTTGTGCCCAAAGCACAGTGTGCATTTTGTTTCCTGAACCTGAAATGCAGCTTAAAATAGAAACCATCCGGATCATTTTGGGTTTTCAAGTGGGATGTCCTCATTCCAAGACTTCTGAAAAGTCTTAGGTGTCCCCAAACTTCCTGATTAAATATGAACTACGTTTCCTTTGGCAGGGTTGGAAGGGTGGGCTGAAAGAAAATTTGCTTTTGCATTATTATTTTTTTTTTTTAGTTTTTAAAAATGAATGCTAGGGATTTGAGATGTGTGTTCTCTATTCGCCATCAACTAATTAATAACGTTGTCTTGATATTGTTGGGCTGAAAGAGCTAACATGTGAATAAACGTCTGAGAGTACATCTCAGCCAAAAGACCACGTCGTTTCAAACTCTAGCTTTACTCTGAGTCACATTTTCAAAAGGAGTATGAGCAGCAGATTCCTCTGGGCTCCTCCTAGAGCTGTGTGTGAGGCAGGGTGTGCTGGCGAGTACCCGGGCTCAGAATGAGCTGCTACACGAAGAAGGCCTCGCCTTGAATTTATCACAGTAAGACTCTTTAGCAAACCGGAATTCGGATCTAAGAAACGGCCTCCACAGGACCATTCCTCTCTGTCTGCTGCTAAATAC